TACTACAAAGCTACAGTAATCCAGACAGTATGGTACTGGCACAAAAACAGACGTCTAGATCAATGGAACAGAATAGTAAGCCCAGAGATAAACCCACGCACATATGGTCACCTTATCTTTGATAAAGGAGGAAGAATATACAGTGGAGAAAAGACAGCTTCTTCAATAAGTGGTGCTGGGAAAACTGGACAGGTACATGTAAAAGTATGAAATTAGAACACTCCTTAACACCATACACAAAAATAAACTCAGAATGGAATAAAGACCTAAATGTAAGGCCAGACACTATCAGACTCTTACAAGAAAGCATAGGCAGAACACTCTATGACATAAATCACAGCAAGATCCTTTTTGACCCACCTCCTAGAGAAATGGAAATAAAAACAAAAATAAACAAATGGCACCTAATGAAACTTAAAAGCTTTTGCACAGCAAAGGAAACCATAAACAAGACGAAAAGACAACCCTCAAAATGGGAGAAAATATTTTCAAATGAAGCAACTGACGAAGGATTAGTCTCTGAAATTTACAAGCAGGTCAATAACAAAGAAACAAACAAACCAATCCGGAAATGGGCAGAAGATCTAAATAGACATTTCTGCAAAGAAGATATACAGATTGCCAGCAAACTCATGAAAGAATGCTCAGCATCATTAATCATTAGAGAAATGCAAATCAAAACTACAATGAGATATCATCTCATACCGGTCAGAATGGCCATCTTCAAAAAATGTAGAAAAAATAAATGCTGGAGAGGGTGTGGAGAAAAGGGAGCACTCTTGCACTGTTGGTGGGAATGTAAATGATAACAGCCACTATGGAGAACAGTATGGCGGTTCCTTAGAAAACTAAAAGTAGAACTACCATACGACCCAGCAATCCCTGTTTTGGGCATATACCCTGAGGAAACCATAATTCAAAGAGTCATGTACCAAAATGTTCATTGCAGCTCTGTTTACAATAGCCAGGACATGGAAGCAACCTACGTGTCCATCAACAGATGAATGGATAAAGAAGATGTGGCACATATATACAGTGGAATATTACTTAGCCATAAAAAGGAATGAAACTGAGTTATTTGTAGTGAGGTGGATGGACCCAGAGACTGTCATACAGAGTGAAGTAAGTCAGAAAGAGAAAAACAAATACAGTATGCTAACACGTATATATGGAACCTAAAAAAAGAAAAAAAAATGGTCAGAGGAACCTAGGGACAAGATGGGAATAAAGATGCAGACCTACTAGAGAATGGACTTGAGGATACAGGGACGGGGAAGGGTAAGCTGGGACGAAGTGAGCGAGTGGCGTGGATATATATACACTACCAAATGTAAAATAGATAGCTAGTGGGAAGCAGCTGCATAGCACAGGGAGATCAGCTTGGTGCTTTGTGACCACCTAGAGGGGTGGGATAGGGAGGGTGGGAGGGAGGGAGATGCAAGAGGGAAGAGATGTGGGGACATATGTGTATGTATAACTGATTCACTTTGTTATAAAGCAGAAACTAACACACCATTGTAAAGCAATTATAATCTAATAAAGATGTTAAAGTGCTTCATTTTCAAGAAGATTCATAGGAAACACTTTCTGACAAACACAGATCTAGAGTAAATTTCAGATATACCGCTGAACTGAGTAAGAAATTTAAAATCCTAATGGAAGATCCGATGGCTTCATAAAAAGTAAAAGGATTGGTTATTGTGTAAACTGGTGTATATGGTTATGTTTATGGGTTTTGTCTGGAATATTCCTGATTTGGATCTGTGTTCTCCAGATATAGGGAAGCCCTTCCCTTCAAGTTACTCATGACTTACAGTAATTTGGTAAATTATACTTCTGTGAGTCTGGCTATCTGGCAACCAGTCTCCCACAGAGTGCAAGATCCAGACTGGTTTTCAGTCTTATTTTCCTGAATCCCTTATGCAAGATCTTTCTTATATAAGACTTGGATCCAGGACTTGGAACTTGGGAATATTTCCAACGTGGTATCCATTCCCCAAATCAAGGTAGGACTACACCCCATTTCAGCAGGAATTAGCTAGAGCAGTCATCGTCCGATTCCCTGAAAGACTTCGGGAAGGTTGAAACAGGATTGGAAGTGGAGACCAAGTCCCACCAAAACCGAATTCCTCTGCCGAGTTTATGATTAGCCACTCTGTCCAAAACATACCCACGTGCTCTCCGCAAGACTGAGGAGTATCAAAGAAAACGGGGGAATTGTAATAGAGCACAGCAGCGTGCAGCCCCTAGCACAGCCATTGCTGTTATCACCCCCTCCCCATGCTGTTACCAGGCAGTGGTTACCGGGAGACCACAAACACCATGGTTAGAGCTGTGTCAGAGGTCCCACTCGACCATTTGTTGGCACCGCTATGGGCCCCTCCCCCAAGTGACCAGCTGTCAATGAGCCACCGTTAGTGGGCCCATTCAGCCAGTGCTCCTCAGGCGAGAGTGAGGTAAGAGGCGGATCTTGGCCTTCTCCCTGGGGCCCTCCAGCTCACCCGGCCTCGGGCCTGGCAGGTGAGCTGGGGGGCCCAGGGAACAGACTGGGGTTGTGTCCTGCAGGGCTGCAGAGCCCTCACCAAGGCCACCCACTGGCCCGGCCCAGGCCCTGAGGCGGCGGTGACCCTCATCCCCATCCCCGCCACTGTGACTAATGGCAGCAGCAGTTTGGATGGGACAGAGTGTGCAGGACCTGACTTTGTCATCTGTGTGGCCTGAGGAGCCTGAGGGCCAGTTGGGTTCTGGGCGCCTGGCTCCCTCAGTGATGACGGCTGGGCAGGGTCTGGGGACCCGGCCCTGAGGGTGCCGCCAACTGAGATCTGCCTCTTCAGCAGAGCCTGGGCACTGGTGGGAGGACCCAGACCTGGTGCTGGACGAAGGCTCCAGGGCAGGGTATGCACCCCCTCCCCAGCCCCCCGCAGGGACCCCTTCCTTTTAGCCAGAGCCTGGACCTCGGAGGGCGAAAGTCGAGCCTTGGGACCTTGTCCTTTTTTTTTTTTTTTTTTTTTTTCTGTACGCGGGCCTCCCACTGCCGTGGACTCTCCAGTTGCCGAGCACAGGCTCCGGGCACGCAGGCTCTGCGGCCATGGCTCATGGGCCCAGCAGCTCTGCGGCATGTGGGGGAGGTTTACAGGAACATTGTGACCTGACCATGACCCGACCTCAACAACAACGGATCTGACACCAAGAAGCCTGCAACAACTAACTACGCCCCTCCCTCACCTTTCCTGTAAGGGGGCTTTGCTGAAAGCTTTCAGGGACATAAGGGTTTTTAAGGCTTGAGTCATCCGTCTCCTTGCGGTGCCCTGCAGTAAACCTTTGTCTGCTCCAAACTCCAATGTTTTGGTATTGTTTGGCCTCACTGTACATCGGGCAGTGAGGTAACAGTTTGTGTACACTTTTATACCCTGACTTTTCATCCCATATAATCATTTTACCATACTGGTGTTTAGTGGTGGCCTAAAACTTAGTTAAGTGGATGAACCATAATTGATGTAACATCTTCCTATCGTGAGACCTCTAGTCACCAAACCTCTACTCCCACCCCCAGGTTTTGGCTGTTTTAAATTACAATTACTCTCTTTGTAGTTTTTAGTGTCTTGCATATTTACCTGTCCAGAAGTGGGATTCCTGGTGGGCAGGAGAGGGTTAAGGCAGCAGCTCTGGGTCCCTGGGACCATGCACATACCCAGGAACGGGCTGCTTCCATGTCCGCCCTTGGCTGGCTCCTGACGGCCGAGCTCTCGGGGTACACAGACTGGAGGAGTGTTCTGCATGCCTGGGGGCTGATCCCTGCTGTCATGGTTTCTGCAGGTGGTTTATGCTGAACACCTGCTCTCCCTCTGCGGCAGGTGGGGCAGTCTTGCAGCCACGGCGTCACCCATCCTTGCTGAAGGAATTAAGTGAGTCCCGTGGCACTGCTGGGAGAGGACTCTCGGAAGCTTGTGTCTGGTTTCCCCCAGACTTTGCCCACGTGACTTTCCCTTTGAGATTTTGCTCTATCCTTCTGCTATAATAATCTGTAACTGTGAATAGAACAACTTCTGGTCCTCTGAGTCCTTCCAGCGACCCATGAAGCCCAAGGGTGGTCTTAGAGACCCCGACATACCTGGGCTGGTGGGCATTCAGTTGCAGATAACGGAAACTACTCTGGCTAGTTGAAGCAAAAAACATTTTTATCATGTATTCCGTGGTTTCGAAATGGTTGGCATGACTGAAAATGTGGATGGAGCGTTTTCCACAGGGCTGGGGACAGTTTCCAGCCCCGCATTTCCCTATTTCTGCCAGAAGAAGCAGACTCACCCAGCCGGGCAGTGGCCTGCTGTGAGGTCCTGCTGCCTTAGCTGTGCCGGGAGACGGGAACCCCATATCCTGTCCTCTTGCCTCCTGACTCAGTTCTGAACGCAGGCGTCTGGGGGACAGAGCTAACACCTGGGGCTGTGTCTGCAAGGCCATCTGGAAATGTGGCATTTCACCTTCCAGAGCTCAAAGACACAGGAAGGAGCTCAGCCTCTGAGCCAAGCCACAGCATCTGATACGCTGTGTCAAAGACTACAAACCTGTTAGTGTTTCTGGATCCTGCCAGACAGCGTTCCCAGCTTGGAAAGACGCACAAGGGCAAAGGCACCAGGCGAGGCTCCTGTCTGTGGTGCTTTAACGTTTGAGAGGCAGGAAATCTCTGGCAATGAAAGTGAACCCTGAGTGATAAGGGGGCAGCCTGCCCATCTCCTGCGCGTCCTGTCTCTGCCTTGCTATTTTCCTATGAAGAAGCAGATTCCCATAGACTGTCGTTAGAGGGCATGTTTCCCAGCTTGAAAGGGGGCTGTACATCAACTCCCCTATGTCGGGGACTTAACAAGAAAAAATAGGCCCTCCTGTGTATAGCCCAGGCTGAGCAGTTTGGCTCTTGTTGGAAACCACTGAATAAAATACATGGAAGGCCGGTTTTACTTTTATGAATTAATTTGCACTTTCCTCTCTCTTATCCCACTTCACAGGCTCGTCAGCTCCCCCATCTCAGCTGTCCTCTGCTGCCTGCGTGTCTCCAGTCTCCCAAAGGACCACCACCCCTTGTCTTAGAAAGGGGATCCAGGCTTGGAGCCAGCCAATTGGATTTGAGCTTTAAGGTAAGATTTTTGTTCAAGAACTTTAGCTGCCAGAGGTATAACATGGCATTCAGATGCTGGGAAAATAATAACCATGATGGAGATGTTTATATACACAAGGATGGTGGGAATGATAAAGAGGTAAACTTCCTAATTCCTCAGAGGACCACATAACTTTACAAGGACTGGGTCTTGGAATGCTGGTAAACTCTTCTACAGCAATAGAAAATGGATACAGGGTGTTTATGATACTGTGCTAATAAGATCCCATTCTTGTACATATTACATGTACATGCATAGAAAACATCTAAAAGGATGGATATGAACGTTGGGGGTGAGACACCCAGTGGCTTTTACTTTATTCCTTATACTTACTGGGTTGTTTGAAAAAAATTAAGTGAGCATATATTTAATAATCAGATGGGGAAAATAAAGATCTTAAAGGTGAGAAAGAAAATCATTACAAGTATATCCTAAGTACCTCAAAGGAGTCTAGTAGATTGAAATTACGTAACTGATAAGAATGCATTTTTGAAAGTTGTGTAGTTTCATAAAAATACAATGTAGTACCTTTTTCTCAGTCCTTAATCTCTCCTCCTTACTTAGAATTAATAGGCACACCTTTATGTATGTTTAGATTCAGAATTTTATTTTAACTGAATTTCTATGCCATAACATAATATCTGTGATACTCTTACTAAAAATTATGTATAACAGTCAAATACTAACAATTTTTGCAAAAAGCTCTCATTACATTTTCTTCAAAATAGGAAAAGTTCACATTATATACTGTTTTGAACAAGATTGTTTGCTTACAAATAATTTACTGTAAAAGTGTTATTTTCAAAGAAAATTTATGGGAAATGATAAAGCAACTATAAAAATCTTTACAATAAAATCCAGGATAAAAGTACTTTTGGGGGGTTGAAAATTTATCAACATGTATATGTGGATTATAAATATATTTTGGCAATCTGATGGGTTCAAGGGCACTTTAAAAGTTGTCTAGTTAAATTACTACAGATATGACATGTTTGGTGAAACCCAATCTGTAAGTCTAACACCAACAATCATTTCTTCCTGCTAAAACATAGAAATAATTTATCTGAAAACTGAGTGCTATGAAGAGTTGGATTTCTTCATAAAGATTCCTTTATAAATTGGGCTAATCCCTGGAAGGCCTAAAAGCGAACAGAGAGAAGAATTAATAAAATTAGGCTGTTGTTTAGGAAAAGTCTGTCATAACTTGAGAAATTTAAACAAAGAGTATCCATCTTAGGTTGAGATCAGACAGTGAAAAGTCAGGATTAACCTCAGTTTTATCTGGGTCAGAGGCCGTCATGTCCACTAATATACGTAGACGGAAGCACATCAGAGGCCCAGAAAATTTTTCAAATCCTTATTCCCTCAAGATCATCATCTTCTCCCAGAACACGAATTATCTTTTTCATATACTCTCTCACCTGCACATGCCTTCTGTATAGTTTCAGCTGTCCAGCTCTATGCATATATAACTTATGAAAAGCATATTTAATGACATGAGAAAGGAAGTCAATCAAGAACACAGCCGGAGACAGCCCATCTCCAAGGATAAGTATACACTCTTCTTACACTTCCTGGACTCTTCAGTTTATGGCTCTTCTGTGGGTTCCCGACACACAGTTCTTAGGAACTTGCTTCTTGGTTTCCTGTAATCCTGGTTAAAGCTGGACTTTATGATTAAGCAATTACTTAACTCCAATCATTCATATTATTCTATTTGACCCTTCCACCAGAGATAGAGATGGATGGCTTCATGAATTTGTACTATGGCTCATGTTAATTCCAAGAAGGAGCGAAAGAGGTTCTCTTTGTAACTTGTTGATAATCTGCCAACACTGTTGAGCAGGTCTGAAATCTATTCGACTCCAACTTGGTCGCATCATTTGTCTATAGAAGCCTGGCAACTTCTTTGAATGGTAGTTTGTGACTTCCAACTAATACCCATTTTGCAGAAACCCAAGAAGCTATCAAATAATGTTGTAACTCACAAAATGAACACAAAAAATAAATGGATATCTACTTTTACTCTAAAGAGAATATTGTACTCACCATGTCCATCTGCTCTGGAGAAGCTAAAGAGAAGGATGCTCTGAAGTAGGGGCAAGGAGCTGAACTATCAGGGTAGAAATGATATCCAGGAAGCATGAATATCTAAGAGAGTTTATGGAAAACAGGTGATGTACCATTAAAGAAAACTAAAAGAAAATATAGGTGAATCTAATCTCAGAGTGGAGGATGACTTTTAAACTTAAAAAGCAATGAAAGAAATCACAAGAGAAAAATCAATTTATATAAAATTACTGCATGTCATATAATAAAACTAAAAGCATAGAAACCTGTGTTTACATAAATACAGCAATTCTACCTCTTCTCCATATATTATAAAGAATGCACAGAAACAGGAAAAACTTTAAAATGGACAAGGACAGCTTATTCAAGAAATAGAAATGGTAATAAACATGAATAAATGTTTAACATAACTAGAAAAGTAAAATAAATCCAATGAAATATCATTTTTAAAAATATTTCATTTTTTTTAAGTTAAACTATAGTTGATTTACAATGTTGTGTTAGTTTCAGGTATCCAGCATAGTGATTCAGTTATACATATGTGTATATGTATATGTATATCTATCGATCTATCTATTCTTTTTCATATTCTTTTCCCTTGTAGGTTATTATAAAATACTGAGTATAGTTCCCTGTGCTATATAGTAGGTCCTTGTTGGTTATCTATTTTATACATAATAGTGTATGTATGTTAATCCCAAACTCCTAATTTATCCCTTCCCCACTTTCCCGTTTGGTAACCCTAAGTTTGCTTTCTATGTTTGTGGGTGTATTTCCATTTTGTAAATAAATTCATTTGTATCATTTTTTTAGATTCCACGTAAGTGATATCATATGATATCTGTCTTTCTCTGTCTGACTTACTTAGTATGATCATCTCTAGGTTGATCCATGTTGCTGCAAATGGCATTATTTCATTCTGAGTAATTCTGGCTGAGTAATATTCCATTGTATATATGTACCACATCTTCTTTATCTGTTCCTCTGTTGATGGACATTTAAGTTGCTTCCATGTCCTGGCTATTGTAAATAGTGCTGCAATGAACATTGGGGTGCATGTATCTTTTTGAATTATACTTTTCTCCATATATATTCCCAGGAGTGGGATAACTGGATCATATGGTAACTCTACTTTTAGTTTCCTTATGAATCTCCATACTTTTCTCCATAGTGGCTGCACCATTGTACATTCCCACCAACAGCGTAGGAGGGTCCTGTTTTCTCCACACCCTCTCCATCCTTTATTATTTGTAGACATTTTGATGATGGGCATTCTGACCAGTATGAAGTGATACTTCATTGTAGTTTCGATTTGCATTTCTCTAACAATTAGTGATATTGAGCATCTTTTCATGTGCCTGTTGGCCATCTGTATGTATTCTTTGGAGAAATGTCTTTTTAGGTCTTCTGCCCAATTTTGGATTGGGTTGTTTTCTTTTTTGATATTGCGCTGTGTGAGCTGTTTGTATACTTTGGAAATTAATCTCTTGTCAATCGCATCATTTGCAAATATTTGTTCCCATTCTGTAGGTTGCCTTTTTTTTTTTTTTATGCTTTCCTTTGCTGTGCAAAAGGTTTTAAGTAGGTCCCATTTATTTATTTTTGTTTTTATTTCCATTAATCTAGGAGACAGAATGAAAAAGATATTGCTGTGATTTATGTCAAGGAGTGTTCTTCCTGTTTTGCTGTAGTTTTGTATTATCCAGTCTTACATTTAGGTCTGTAAGCCATTTTCAATTTATTTTTGTTTATGGTGTTAGAGAATGTTCTAATTTCATTCTTTTACATGTACCTGTCCAGTTCTCCCAGCAACACTTACTGAAGAGACTGTCTTTTCTGCACTGTATTTTCTTGCTTCCTTTGTTGTAAATTAATTTGCCATAGGTGCATGTGTTTATTTCTGGGCTTTCTCTCCTGTTCCAGTGGTCTATATTTCTGTTTTTGTTTCAGTACCACACTGTTTTGATTACTGCAGCTTTGTAGTATAGTCTGAAGTCGGGGAATGTGACTCGTCCAGCTCCATTCTTCTTTCTCAAGACTGCTTTGGCTGTTAGGGGTCTTTTGTGTTTCCATACACATGTTAAAATTATTTTAGTTCTGTGAAAAATGCCATTGGTAATTTGATACAGGGATTGCATTGAACCTGTAGTTGGCCTTGGAGAGTAAAGGCATTTTGACAATATTGATTTTTCCAATCCAAGAACATACTATATCTTTCCATCTGTTTGTGTTGTCTTCAATTTCTTTCATCAGCATCTTACAGTTTTCCAAGTACAGGTCTTCTGCCTTTTTAGGTAGGTTTATTCCTAGGTATTTTATTATTTTAGATGTGATGGTAAATGGGATTTTTTCCTTAATTTCTCTTTTTGCTCTTTTGTTGTTAGTGTATAGAAATGCAACAAATTTCTGTGTACTTATTTTGTATCATGCAACTTTACCAAATTCATTGATGAGCTCTAGTAGTTTTCTGGTAGTATCTTTAGGATTTTCTATGTATAGCATCATCTCATCGGCAAACAGTGACAGTTTTACTTCTTCTTTTCCACTTTCGATTCCTTCTATTTCTTTTTCTTCTCTGATTGCTGTGTCTAGGTCTTCCAAGACTTTGTTGAATAAAAGTGGCGAGTGGGGCATCCTTGTCTTGTTCCTAACCTTAGAAGAAATCCTTTCAGATTTTCACCATTGAGTATGATGTTAGCTGTGGGTTTTTCATATACAGCCTTTATTATGTTAAGGTGTGTTCTCTCTATACCCACTTTCTGGAGAGTTTTTATCATAAATGAATGTTGCATTTTATCAGAAGCTTTTCTTGCCTCTATTGAAATGATCATATGGTTTTTATTCTTCAATTTGTTAATGTGGTATATCACATGGATTGATGTGTGGGTATTGAAAAAAACTCAAAAAAC